CAGGGTCCGCTTATGAGCGAGAACATGTGGTACTCAGTTCTTTGTTTCTGTGATAGATCACTGAGTATGATAGACTCTAAATCCATCCAAGTTACTATGAAGTCCAAATTTTCTTCTTTTTTATGGCTGTGTAATATTCCATTGTGTGTATGTACCACATGTTTCTTATCCAGTCCAGCTTCAATGGGCAGCACAGTTGGTTTCATGTTTTTACTGTTGTGAATAGTGCTGCAATAAACATGAGTGTGCAGGTATCTTTTCTGTAAAGTGATTTAAGTTACTCTGGGTATATTCTCAGAAGGGGGATTACTGGGTCGTATGGAAGGTCAATTTCTAGTTCTTTTAGGAATCCGGGCTGGATTTTAAATGACACACCTTATATCCTTGATAGTCCCCAAAGCTATCAGCAATCCCATGAGGAGGGGTTCATCATCTCCATTAGTGATGAAGAAATGAGGGCAGAGGGTCAGAAAGTCTCAGCTACTTGATGAAGATCACACACTGTCCTTCATCCTCACCAACCTGTCCAGATCAACCTTTCCCAGGAGACTTCATCAAAGTCACACATCACGGCTGAGCCCACTGCCGCCTTCCAGCCTGTTCCAGCAGCCCTGCCCTGGGACATTTGCTCGACCTGTTCCTGGAAAGCACATGACCCAGCCTCTCTGCTCCTCCTCCTTGCCTTTGGAGATTTGGGAAGATCTTAAAAATAAAAAGCAGAAATAAAATTCCTCCAAGACCCAAAGGGGAAAGAGGAAAAACAAGAGGTCATGGGATGGATTCCTTGGCTTGTCTCAACGACATTGTGAACAAGAGATCTAGTTTGGCTACTGCTTAGGGCAGATGAGGGTTAAAGTGGACCTCAGGCCTCTAAACATCCTTGCCCAGTGTGGGCCTGCCCTCCCTGCACCATGCATTGTTGTCATCAATGCAAAAGGCAGGCTCTCCCTTGGAAGAGAAAAGCCATTGTGCCATCCATTTATCCTCCCTTTACTCATTAATTCTTGCAATCGTTGACTCTATTTCTCCTTCATTCATTCATTCAACTCAGCCAACAGTGGATTCTGTATGAGGGATGCTGAAAGCATCAATGGCAATTTTGGCCTCAAGGGTCCCAAGTCTAGAAAAAAGGTAGATACATCCATGAGCAATTATGGCACAGCATCCAAGTGCTAAGAAAGAAGGGTGCACAGGGTCTCTGGCGAAACATGGAAGAGACACTGATGTGGTTTGGGGGAAACTAAGGAAGCCTTCTCAAGTTATGAAGGCTCAAAGATGGAGGATGAACAGGGCTGGCAGAGGCAGGAAAGGGAAGGAGCTGTGAAGGTCAAAGACAAAAGACACAAGAGCACAGAGAATTCTAGAAGCAGTCAATGACTCCACGTAGCCAGGATGAAAAGCACAAAGGGACAGTGATGAGACTGGAGGGACTCCCAGACACCCAATCATAAGAGATCTTGCAGACCATGATTAAGAAGTGGGATTTAAAAGAACTGAGTACCATAAGGCTTCTGGGTAATTGCCCCAGATCCCTAATAGTCTCCCCACTTCCAGGCCAGCCGTCACCCTCCCTTCTCCACAGCCAGAGAGGCCTTTCCAAAGGGTAAACCCAATCAAGTTACTCCTCCACTTATGTTCTCACTCATAAGTGGACCCTGAATAGCTATCATAATACTACATGAAAGGGATTGGCAGTAGCGGGACATTGCCGGGGTTGGGGCGAGGGGGACATATAATGTCAGTAAGGGTATCTGATCCCAAACCAGGTGAAGTGAAGACCAATGAGAGTCCTAAACTTTACCTGTGTGATAACCACTTATGTATCTAACCCTGAATTGTACCCTGCCTCTTTAAAATTAAATAATAATAATAATAATAATTTACTGAGTATTTCTAACACAAAGAAATAATAAATGCTTGTGGTGATGGATATATCAATACCTTGATTTGATCGTTATACATTGGTATGCCTGTATCAAAATGCACATATATGCCATAAACATGTATAACTTTTATGTATCAATAATATATAATATTAAAAATATTTTAACAGTTTAAAGAAGTATTTTTAAAAAGAAGTGGGATTCTCTCACGATTCCTGGGGGTTTAAGCGGAGGAGTAACTTGATTGGGTTTGCCCTTTGGAAAGGCCTCTCTGGCTGTGGAGAAGGGAGGGTGACAGCTGACCTGGAAGTGGGGAGACTATTAGGGGTCTGGAGCAATTACCCAGAAGCCTTATGGTGACAACGCAAGCTGGGCAATGTCTTGGGACTGGAGCAATAAAAGAGGTTTTACACGTCTTAGTGGTTGGAGAAGGAAGATTAGGAACATAGAGTGCCACTCTTTTATGCATGGTTCTCAAGCAGTGAGGAAGAGGAGCTTGGTACAGCCCTGCAGAGGGGGAGGCAGAGGAGCCCCCAAGACCCCGCTCCCTGCCCTTCCTGGCTCCTCTCCTCCCTACCCACTTCTCTTCCTCAGCTAAACTAGCAACGAAATTCCAGATAGAGATAGTCTTCCTCGTGAAGAAATCTCTCATAAATTCTCTTAGCTGAGAAACCTACACAGCCTCATTGTTATGCTAGAATGTCATCTCCTCAAAGAATCCCTCCCCACTAAATGAAAGAGCGGCTCTTTCTGGAGCCTGTTTCTACTTTCTTCTTTGTAGGTCTTCTCACCACTTGACATCATATACAAGTAAGCACCATGAGGGCAAGGACCATGTCTAGTCGCTGATGTATACCCACTACCCAGAGCAGTGCCTGACATATAAAAGGCACACAATTAATATTTGTTGAGTGGATAAATGATAACCTCTGTGGATAGCTAAGAAGGGAAACCCTTTATCAGTAATTCAAAGAAATCACTACCTCTACTCGTGCAACCAGGAGACATGACAATGAGCAATAGGGTACTCAGCTGCTCTGAATCATAGCTGCTCAATGCAGGCCCACTGACCTCTGGGAAAGTGTGACCCATTGGCAGCTCCTGCTCTGGCTTTGGCCTTGTCCTGGGTGTTAAAGGGCCAATCTCCAGGAGGCCAATTCCAGCCAGAGCAAAAATGACTCACATAGTAGAGTCTGAAACTGAACCAGGGCAGAGTCAAATCTAAGATTCTCTCTAAAAAAAGACACTGCTAGCACAGCTGCATGTGTAAATGAAAACACAATGTGCTACCACTATACACCTGCTAGAACAACTGGAAATAAAAAGACTGAAATATCAAGTGCTAACAAGGACTTGAGGACACTCAGGTATTGCAGGTTGGAATACAAAATGGCACAGCAACTTTGCAATACAAGTTGGTAGTTTCTTTTTAAAGTTAAACATTTGCTTACCATTTACCCAGCATCTAATTCCTAGATATTTATCCGAAATAAATGAAGACATATGTTTACACAAGAAATTATAAATGAATGTTCATAGCAACTTTATTCATAATAGCCAAAAAACTCAAAATGACCCAAATGCCCATCAGTAGGTGAAAGGTGGTACCTATAGAAACCTAAAAGAAACTTAGCTTATACTTAGTTTAGTCTTTTTTGCCTCCACAAAGCCATTAGAAAGCATTCAGACATTCTACTGCAGGCCAAGCTGCAGCCTACCCCAATCCCTCAGCAAATCTCTACCAGGTGTAAGACAAGGAAAAAGCCATAAAAATGAAAATAAGATCACCTTTGGTCAAGGAGTTTGTGGATTGCAAATGCCTAACAAGTCTCTTGCAGGAAAAACCCCATCGGGGCCCAAACCCCCAAGTTAGACTAATCAGTCTTTTGTGACCTGTGTGACACAGACAAACCCCACCATGGCAGCAATCATGTGCCTAACCCACCCATCTGCCTGCTGTCCATCACCTGATGTCAGTACCTGCACTTGCCTGCCCCTTCGTGATGACGTGGAGAAGACCACCACCCAATCACCTTAATGATCTTCCCCCATCAAGGGGAATTGTTAACAGGACTCAACCACAAGCAACCAGCGGCCATTGCCTTGCTAGACTCTGGTATGGCCATGTGCTCTCTGAGCTATGGCTGTCACCATGCTCCCTGACTTTGACCCCCTCTTCCACCTTGGGGAGGTGTATCTTCTCTCTCCCTTCTCTTTCTCTCTCTAATTTACTTTTAATAAACTATATTTTTAAATCTAACTTCTGTGCAATTCTTTACATCCTCCATGCAACTTTGAATTGCACCCCAGATGGCCACATGTAAGAAGTGATCTCTTTTTAAATAAATCTTTTCTTTCATCTCCTTGTGTTACTTTGTGTTACTTGGATCTCTGGTTACTAGCGTGGACCTTTGGCACACTGGCTCCAGCGGTGCTGTGCCCCCTCCAGACCCTTCAGACTAACAGTAGGCAAATATGTTTTTGATGTAGTTTATTCATACAGTGAAATACTATTCAAAAGAGAGAAACAAACTATTGATGCCTGCAACAACATGGTTGAATACCGAAAATGCTAGGCTAGGTGGAAAAGAGTTCACATCACATGGTTTCTTTTGTATGAAATTCTAGACTTGGTGAAATCTATAGTAACTTAAATTTCAGACTGATGATTGCCTGCCAGGGTCTAGGGAAGCAAAGATTGACTGCAAGGAGAAACTGGGGAGTTTGGAGGGTGATGGAAAATTTCATATCTTGAGTACAGTGGTGGTTACATAAGTATATTCAACTATCAAATCACATCAAACTGTATACCAAAAATGGGAACATTTTATTTTATGTAAATTCTATTTCTATAAAGTTGAATTATACAAACTGAAACAATAATATTTTTTTTGAGTTGGAGTCTCACTCTGTCGCCCAGACTGGAATGCAGTGGCTGCTCCCGGCCACTGCAACCTCGACCTGCTGGGCTCCAGCGATCCTTCTGCCTCAGCCTTCCAAGTAGCTGGAACTACAGGCAAATGCTACCACGTCTGGCTGATTTTTGATTTATTGTAGAGATGAGGTCTCACCAAGTTGCCCAGGTGGGTCTTGAACCCACGAGCTCAGGCAATCCACTCACCTCAGCCTCCCAAAGCAAGGGATTACAGGCTGAGCCACCGAGCCCAGCTTGAAACAATAATTTTAAAAAGACAATGCTGAGCACAGTGGCTCATGTTTGTTATCCCAGCACTTTGGGAGTCTGAAGCAGGAGAATTGCTTGAGTCCAGGAGTTCAAGACCAGTCTGGGCAACATAGAGAGGCCTTGCCTCTGCAAAAAATTTTTAAAAATTAATTGGGTGTGGTGGCACATGTCAGTATACCAGTTACCTTAGGAGGCTGAGGCAAAAGGATGGCCTGAGCCCAGGAGGTCAAGGCTGCAGTGAGGCATGCACTCTGGGCAACAAAATGAGACCTTAACTCAAAAAAAGACAAAAAAGTAAAATGAAATAGAAAAAAAATTAAGCCAAAAAAGTCAAAGCAGGATAATCCTAGTTTTATTAGTAAGAATATTGTTCTTCCAGGACAAGAGTAGAATTGGCTTTACTCCACACATAGCCTAAGATCACCTTCAGCAAGAGATTGCATCAACTGTCTGGAAATTTAACCTCCAGGTGGACCTACATAGCTCAGGCAGCCCCCGCCCCCCCAGCAGAGGCACACCGTTTGTCTCCTCCCTAGGACTCAGACAGTAGAAATGCAGCTGGTCCAGGACAAGAAAAGTGAGACTGGGCCAAGCACAGGACTGGAGGAAGAAACCGGCTGCCTCGAACGTCCTCAGCAGAACGTTCACAAGCTCTACCTCAGAAATTCCTTCCATTCAGAACCAAGCTCAAGTTACCAAAGCCCCCTCCTCTGATGCTGCCAGAAAGTTCCTACCAAGTCTGAAACCGTCCTGCAGAATCATCCTAGGAGAACTGCAGTACAGAAGAAGAAGCCTCTCAATCAGGATTAAATTTGGCGAGCATCAGCAGTTACCCAGGAGCTTTTGAAAACACAGGTCCCAGCTGGGCATGGTGGCTCATGCCTGTTACCCCAGCATTTTGGGAGGCCGAGGCAGGAGGATTGCTTGGGTCCAGGAGTTTGAGACCAGCCTGGGCAACATAGCAAGACCTTGTCTCTACAAAAAAAAAGAATCAAAAAATTATCTGGGCATGATGGCACACACCTGTAGTCCAGGCTACTCAGGAGGCTGAGGCGGAAGGATCACCTGAGCCATGGAGGTTGAAGCGGCAGTGAGCCATGATCATGCCACTGCACTCCAGCCTGGGCAACAGAGTAAGACCCTGACAAAACAAACAACATAGACCCTAAGTCACCCTAGGCCCTAGAGTTAATGGACCAAATCTCTAGTGGTGAAGCCTAAGGATCTGTCTTTTTAAAAACCTCCCAGGTGAATCTTATGCAGTGCAAGGAAGCGTCATCTATGTCTGCGGTTGCCAAACTTCAGTGCATAAGATTATCAGAGGTTTTTGTTAAAAACACAGATCCCTAGGAAACACCCCTGAGGATACAGATTCCGCATGTCTCAGGGAAGACCTGGAGTCTCCAGGTTTAACCAGCCCCCGGGTGATTGCAATCCACAAACCACATTTCGAAAACCCCAGAGTGGATGCCGGAGTACATTTTCCTAATGCAGTCTCCAGGAGCGGGGTCAAGGACGAGGCAAGAGAACTAATCAGGTGATGCCAGCATGCTCGAATTTATTAAGAGGTTAACAGAGAAGATGGATCCTTGCATCTCAAAAGCAGCAGAAAGCCAAGGAAGAGGCTCAATCCCAAAGACACCTTGAAGGAGAGGATGAATGCCTTAGAGAACAAGACATTTGACTTCGCGCAAATAAAGCCATGAGGATTCACCCTTGGAGCTCGGGGAATCACTCTGCAGGGACCCAGTTTTAATCTCTCGCCAGGATACGGCTCGTGTTCATGGTGCCTTGACACTCAAGGGTAGGTGCTGCAGAGCAAGCCCCCCCTCTCCAAATCACACAAGAGGCAGGACCCTGTCTGGGGGTGTGGAGGGTTCTGGAAACCAGGGAGTAGAGGAAGGCCTTCAGTGAGACTGCGTCCATGGTGGTGCGGGAAAAAGTCTTCATTTTGTGTCGCACACAGGTGTGGGCTGGCAGCACACAGGCCCACAGCACCCGGACCCACAGCAGCTTGATCCACAGCAGCTGCCTCCACAGCCTCCACAGCCTCCCCCGCAGCCACAGCAGCTCGATCCGCAGCCAGAGCCCCCACAGCCGGAGCCCCCGCAGCCGGAGCCCCCGCAGCCGGAGCCCCCACAGCCACAGCAGGACGCGCAGCAGGGCCCGCAGCAGCCGCAGCAGGACCCACAGCAGGCCGGCTGGCAGCAGCACTCCTCACAGCAGTTCTGGTCCTGAGCGCAACAGGTGAAGCAGTCCCCAGGGCAGCACCCCATGGTCCCGGCTGGTCAGGTCGCAGGTCGGGAGCGCGGCCGGAGTGCCCCAAGACTGCCCGTGGCCAGCCGGATGGCAGCTTTTATAGCCCCTCACCCGAGGGTGTCGGCACGAGGGACAGGATGTTGTCTTTGTTGTTATTTGTGCCAGTTTCCATAAGAACATCTCATTAACTGGCTGTTTATTTTCCAGCCCGGAGTACCTCAACTCATAAAAAAGCCCCACTCCTTCCAAGGGCTGTTTGTCCAGAGGGTAAAAATACGCCTTCGAAAGACCTGTCATCATGGCCAAACACGGGCCAGCCGTCATTTGACCAGGTTGAAGAGAGGAAGGGGAAGCCGGCTGCAGACTCTGCCTCTGGCATGAGGGGGCTCGTTTCCCACCTCCTCTCTGGTGACATGTTGGCAGTGGACCTGGTTTTCCATGGATGCTAATTCTGGAAAAACAGACGGCAACAGCTGGATGCCCTGTTCCCTCTGCTGCTGTGGAAGGTTCTGGCCACGCGGCTTCTCCCAGGTGGAACTGGCATCCTGCCCTGGACCATGTGACAAGGCAAATATTTGTGTGTGTGTGTGTGTGTGGTATGTGGAGTGTGCCACATGTCCGCGTGGGCTTGATTGGTGAGCATCAGTCATGAGTAATAACTGCCCTGTGAAATGGAGAAAGACTCGTCATAAAAGAGGCTGGAGAGCCACCTTCTGACTGGGCTGCACAGGGAACTGGATACTCACACTTCTCCCTGGATGGGTGGAAGAGCTGAGTTCAGAACCTGCTGCTCCCAACCCCAGGCCTTTCCTTGACATGAGAAGAAAGAGATGCAGGAGGAGGAGGAAGAGGAGAAGGAAAGAAGGAAGAAACGGAAAGAGGGAGGAAGGGAGGGAGATTGCTAAATACTCAACACTACATTAAAATGGGAACGTTGTGCACTTTTTTAAAAGAGCCCCAACCTTATAGACCATCTGGAAGAATGAATAATTGTCATACAAAACATCCAGCGAGTCATCTGAGGGAGTAAAATGCCTTTGGAGAGAAACTAGAATCCATTGAGAATTTGAGTCCTTGTGTGAATTCAGAGATGGGTCAAAAATGTCCATCTCTATGTTGGGCTTTGGTGTCTTGTCACCCTCTTAGAATGATCATGGCAGTCTGGAGACCACAGGCTCTGCCTCCTAGAGTACAGCATCCCGGGGCGGGGGAGGGCGGTGGGGGACAGAAGATGTGGATGGGGTGGGGATGGGGTTGAGGATCTGGATCAAGGACAAAGCCCCTCCCTTTCTGACTCCCTTTCCTTTTTTGATGGGCTACAGTACCACAGCCTCTAAGAAGGACCAGAAGAATTAAGGACAGGCTGGGGACTTGGGGGTGAGTGCTGTAGGCTGCTGGGTTCTGATATGAAACTCAGTACTTCACAGGATGGGGAAGTTTAGAGCAGGGAGAGACCAGTGAAAGACCATCTGGTCTAGGGTTTTACATCAGAATCACCTAGGATGGGGACTTTTATAAAATACAGACCCCCAAGCTGCACCCCAGTCCTAATGCTGAATCAGAGCATGTGTTCATGGGAGCTTAAGAAGCTGCAGTGTTTTAAGTTTCTCAGGTGACTCAGATTAGGTAAGGAAACACGATATAATTTAATAGCACTGTGGCCACTACCCCCAAGCACTTGTACTTTATTAAAAATGATACCAAGGTCCAGAGAGGACACATCAATGATAGACTGAACCCAAAACGAAAACGTTCAGCTTCCTGGTTGAGTGTTTCTTCCACCTCACCACATCCACAGAATGGGCGAGTATAATACAGACATGTCCACAGATGACACATCCTTGAGTTTGTTTATTTTATTTATTTATTTATTTGTTTGTTTGTTTGTTTTAACAATAGGCAGTCCCAGGGTAAAAGGTACCAAAGAGCATGAGGTGAAGTCTCTTTCATCCTTCAGCATTTCACCATCCAATTCTCCTGCCTCTTATCTACCCATCTCTGCTCCCACAATCACTTAGTCCCTCTGTACCCAAATTTCCTCATCTATAAAACAGAAATTAAAACAACAGTACCAATCTTGTAGGGCTGTTGTGACTAAATGAATGATCATATGCACATATTGAACACATAACAATAATTGGCCACATATACAGGGTGTGACGATTAAGTTCGTGAACTCATCCTAGAAAAAGTGCTACATACCTCATTGCTGAATATCACTCTGGTCACTTTGGAAGTATTCACTGGGAAGCTATGCACTGATGCCAGCACCTAGTTCACCCATCAAAACAATTGTGGAACTCTTTTTCTGGAATGGCCATCAGAGCCATCGTCGTATTGCCCTTGATGTCCTGATGACATCAAAATGTCTTCCTTTCGATGTTCCTTTATCTTCAGGGAAATAAAAAAGTCATTGGGGTGCCAGATCAGGTGAGTAGGGAGAGTGTTCCAATACAGTTATTTGTTTGCTGGCCAAAAACTCCCTCACAGACAGTGCCTTGTGAGCAGGTGCATTGTCATGATGTTGTTGGTAAAAAGTTCAGTTCATTTTCGTCTAACTTTTTCACACATCCCTTTCAGCACTCCCAAATAGTAAACTTGGTTAACTGTTTGTCCAGATGGTACAAATTGGTAATGAACAATCCCTCTCATATAGAAAAAGGTTAGCGACATTGCTTGGACTCTTAATTTGGACTGATGGAACTTTTTTGGTCATGAAGAATTGGCTGAATTCCATTGTGCACTTTGACACTTTGGTTCAGGGTCATATTAGAGCACTTACGTTTCATCGCCAGTGATAACATGGCCCAAAACATCATCTTGCCTCTCCAAAAGATTGTTCATCAGTAAGCTCCTTTAGGACCATTTTTGCACACACTTTTTCATGCCAAGATTTTCAGTTAAGATTTTCCTGACAGTTTCTCTATCAATGATTATTTGGTCTACTATGCTTCTCACAGTCAGTTGACAATTTTGACCCATAATTCAACAAACTTTTGCAATGTTTTCCTCAGTTACTGGCCATCCTGACCTCTCTTCATCAATGACGCTCTCTCTCCCCTCAGAAAGATATTTAATCCATTTGTGCACTGCTGTTTTCTTCATGGCATTAACCCCATACACTTGGACTAAAGTGTCCCTGATTTCACTTGCCAAGTTGAACAAGAAATGTAATGTGTGTTCGTTGCTCTAATTCAAGCACCAACATTCTCATGATGGCACACAAAAACACACAACGACAATAACGAATGCTACTCAGCAAAGCACTGCCGCATGTTGACACGAACACAGCTGGTATACCAAGGTTATGAAACTTTACTGGGTTGTTTGCACAGTGTTGCCAATGTAAATGCACGGGGTAAGTTTACAAACTTAATCATCAGACCTTGTAGTTTGATATGTACAAGAAAACAATAGAGAGAAATGCATTCAGCATATTTGTTCATTACACAAATGATATCCATACTAGGGTTTTTTCCAGAAAAAAAGGTTTTTAAATTCAAGTAACTGCAAATAGGAAACCAGATGAGGAGCCCCAGGCTTGAAAAAATAATAGTTAGCCCCATCCTGGCAGAACAGGGGAAGAAGGTGGACCCTACACTCTCCATGGTCAACATGCCCCTCCACTCTGCCGCAGCAGCCTAGGGATGGGCCCCACCTACCCTGGAACTGGGGCAGGGGATAACCCAGCCTGCTGTGCCCCAGACTGTCTTGGGGGCAGGGAATGTGGACAGAACAGGGGAAGGCGATGAGGATGAACATTTGGTGCTGGTAGCGGCAGCAATGATAAATGTCGAAGAATGAAACATTGCACAATAAAAGAGGTAGTTTTGAACACAGAAAGATGAAACCGGATTCCGGGGGGGTGGGGGGCAGTAGTCAGCAAGCCTACCTCCTGTCAGGAGTGTGTCATTTGAGGAGAGGGAGGCAAGCAGGTAGGAGTGGGTGAGAGATCCCAGCCCCCCCTTAGGTGGCCACAAGGACCTGGATGAAGATGACTCTGCCTCTGCATCGCTGCAATGGATGCTCAGTCCCAGGGTGAGGTCAAGGTGAGCTGGGGCTCCTGCCTCCAAGGGGGCTGACCAGCCTCGTGCAGGGAAGAGGGAAGGAAGAAAAATGGTGTGCACTCACAGGGTGACAGAGACACAGATTGTCGGGAGGCACCAAGCACCCTCTCCACTGGCCATGCCTGCTACTGCCAGGACAGTGGAGAGGGCATGTCAGAGTGAGATGGGGCCTGGTCTCCTTTTAGGGCCAGGGGAACCTTTCCAGGGCTCTTTATGGGAAGCCAGCAAGAAGAGTGGAGGAGAAGAAGCTTGGAGAGCACTGCTCTGAGCCCAAGGAATAGGGACCCAGCAGGTGCAGGGGGTGACGGTGGGACTTCGCCTTGTCCAAGAAGGGCAACTACCCGGGTGGGGGGGGTCTCCAGGAGCTGAGACCACTGGGGCCCCGGCGACCCTGCTGGCTGCTGGTGTGCCGTGTGGTATGTGTAGGTGCGCACGCAGGTGGGGAACCAGGAATGGGGCAGTGGGGGCGGAGCCGTCCAGACCCAGAAGGCTCCTGCTTCTCTAACTCCGGGAGCTCCAGCGAGATGTCCTCTTCTCCAGTTCTGTGTCTTGGCCCCTCGGTTTCCTCCCTGGAGTCGTGGTGCTTTTCCGGGCCTTGGCAAGCGCCCTGTGTCTGCTCCTCTTGGGTTGGCCCTGAGGGCTCAGGTGATGACACCTCGCGGGGCTCTAGTGACCCCTACCCGCAGTGCCTGGACTGTCGCGCGGGGGCGGGGAGGGGTCTTGCGCAGCCCGATCCGGCTTCTCAAGGCTGTCCTTTTCCTTCTGGGGGGCGAGGGACGGCTGGATTTGGAGCTCGCCTCGCTCCTCTTCCCTTCTCCACCCTTCAACGGAGGAGCTGCTGGCATGGGGTGCGCTCAGAGTTGGGTGCTGAGGACCAGCCTGGCGCCGCAGCCGCGGCTTTTGTGGCAGCCAACGCGGGTGCCTCCGTGGAGGCCCGCCGGGACAGCCTG